TATAAGCACAAACCTGAAAGTGTCAGTTCCCACTAATAAAGTAATTATGAGCTGAGAATTTCATTAAAATATTTATTTCTGATAACCGCTGAGAACATTAAAGATACTGTTTTTCAAAATAAAAATAAAATAAACATGTAATATATGTAGTGAAAGCATACAGACTATAAAATCTTTGGAATATATGTGGCTACCACCAGGACTGTTGTCAATCCTATAGTCACACATCAGTCTTGTTTAGATTCAAATTACTTTTAGGGATCAAAATAAAATTGAATTTAAGATCTGTCTGATACACTGTGAGACAGAACACGAATTCTTAGATGTTTTTAAAAATCAGAGGCTTGGCTGCTCCCAGGCTGTCTTAGGTTCTGTTGTGTGTTGCAGTTAAGTTTTTATTAAATATCTGCTGAAAGAAAAGGCTTCACATTTACACACTGTGTACATGAGGCTAAAACCTGGCTCAGTCTCATGCAGTTTTTAAAGAATGCCAGTCAACCACATCATTTATTCCATTTTCAAAACAAAAATCAATATACCTATAAAGTGACCCATAAATTAGAACTGGCTCGCACAATGTTTGTTCAAGCTGCCTTTCTGAAGGCACCCTTTGCATTTTTCTTCACCTTCATGTTTGAACTGCAGTCACAGTAAGAGGCTCATTAGGGGACATTAGGGAGTGGATCTAACCAGAATTCCATAGCTTGCTTTGCTATTATTAATGCATAGTAGAGTAGAATGCATTTAAATATTTAATAGATATTCAGTAATTTGTGTGTAATCGTCTTGTTAGCCGACCTGCAGAAATAGAACAGGTCTGTGAAATGCTGTTAGTGATTGCATGGGTAATTTGCAGACTTTTGCCATCACAAAAGAGCATTATTGGTGCTTTGTGAAAATACTGAAATAGAGCTAGCAATATGTAATAAAAAAATAAATTGGTAAAGCTTTTTGTAATAAGCATCTTGAAGGATAACAATCCATTTAGTTCTTTAGAAGCAGCAATAATTCATGACATATGCAATATATCACATACATAAGATAGCATTATGAAGCAGCCTTCATATGTAAAGGGTATTTGCAACATTAGTTCGAACTTCCTGCGAGGTACATGATTAAATGATTAATGGAATGTCCTTTTGCATATGCATTTTGAAACAGCAATTAAGTAGTGGCTCAGAAAATTCTGAAATTCCTCACTTTTCAATATTATCTTATCCTTGATTTATAATTCATAGGGACTATTTTAACAGCCAATATATAATACCTGAGACAGATATAAAGACATAAAAGAGAATATTTTTGACATGAAATAGTTTTAAGTGTATACATTTATAATTTTATGTTAATGCCACCCTATTTATTTAATCTTGCTGCATTTCATTTGTATCCTTTGCCATTCCTGCACTTTGATTGGCATAATTAAGTAGGGGAATGAATAGGCTCTATTATTTTACATATCACTAGTAAACAATAGCAAGGAACAGAGAAGGGAGATGTGGCAGAGGTATGTATGTGTTTTTCAAGTTCTCGGTAATCCACTGGAGGCTGTTCTATAAATGATCATTGAAGGGCTGCAAGCTAGCCTATAATTACAGGAAAGAAAGTGGCAGCTCTGGCATTTCATAACTATGTGTCCTCGAAAAGTGCTTTGTGAGTTTGTCACCAATGATAATTTAGATAGAGGCTCATTACTGAACATCACAACACTTTAAAAACCTTTCGCCTTCATGCTGGAGAATAAAGGACTATTTTAATGGCAAGGTTCTTTTGTATTCTTCTGAAAAATTCAATCAAGACAAAACCTCACCGACTATTATTATACTCCACAGTCTCTCTATTCTAATGAAAGCAGCACAGATAAACTAAATATGAAGACTTGAGCAGTTAAATGCAAACATATTTTTTTTTAATTCTGTAAATATATGACAAGAGCAGGTCGCTAAAATGTAAACATGTTTTAAGCCACTTTTGTGCAGACAGGCCCCGTTCATTTTCTTTGTCTTGATTTTTTTCTTAAGAAATTGCATCGTATACATCTTCATTTATGTGCCTTGTACGAAATGTAGTTTGATATTACCCTTTGCAGTCAAAATAACGTATTTAGCCCTTTCTGCACCTTTCTTCTGTTTAATCTGCAAGTGAGCATTAGTGTCTTTATCTCTTGTGTGTGGGAATAGATATGTTACCAGAGCAATGAGTATTAACTCCTATTTTCAGATGCAGTGCAGCATGCATTAGAAGGGCCGATTATAAAATAAGCAGGACACAATATATGCAAAAGACCCTTCTGTAATCAGCACTAATATCCTTATGTTTAAGACTCGCACATTTTGTGCCTAAGAATCTAATTTTATTTTTAATTCACATTTTAAATTTATACGAAATATTATTTAACCCTTTTTTTGAAAAAAAAACGGCTATTTTAACTTTCTAAGTGTTGTATATAGTTTATGATATCTTTTAGGTAAACATTTCTTTTATAGTTGAATGTTACTTAACTATACATATTCAAATACTGTTTTAACTTTTATCATTTATTTAAGCCTTATTGCCCTTAAAATAATATAGCACCTGTTAATATACTGCTTCTAGACAAACAATCATATGCTAAAAAGCTCCAGTAAGTTATCAACCTCCAACATAGAAAAGGGGGTCATACACTTACAGTACATGAGGGCTGACAGTACTAGTGGTATGTTGAAGGCTTGTTCACACCATGTCCGGATCATGCCCAGACCAGAAAAGTATCCCAACGTATCCCTTTGGTAATCCTGGGCTCTGTTCACACTAGCACAGTCCGTTCTGGTCCAGACAAAAAAAATACTGCTAGTCTCATTTTGTCTGGTCTGTAATGCACTGGAACGCATGGAAATGCATCAAACACTCATACAAATACACTGGACTGCACCTGAAAGCCCATTTTAGGCTAATAAAAAACATCAAAATCGCAGGAAAAATGCACTGCACTGCCTTTGCAGATCTGGTCCAGACATTGTGTGAACAGTGTATAGGACACAATTTGCAGATTAAGTACGGTAGTACCATAGCCATTTGTGTTATTTAGAAGACATCTTGGTTTATTTAATAAGGTAATTACCAATGTGTACAACACAGTAGCCCATGAAAATTATTAGGATCCTTTTCTGTTATCGTAAATATGTAGTCATAAAGGGAAATAAAATATGATTGTTACTGTCATTGTGTTCAGTAAGATAAATAGTATGACTTGATATGGGTCAAGTAGAGAAGAAAGGCAAAAGGCCATAATAGTTAAAATACCAGTGTCCTGTTCACACATAAATGTATAGAACATTAGGGTTTTAAAAAGAGAACACAGCAAAAGTTGTTGCTTTTAGACTGCCCCTTCTCTGATTGAAAACTCCTTTCAGGTTAAGCTATTGAGGTTGGCAAACAGCCTTTTTTTTTAGCAGGGCAGCTAGGTCATCCCAAACAAGGTTGTCTTAGTAAACATGTGGAAAGGGTGTTGGCTCCACCTGCTGGCAGTAAAAATAAAACTAGGTGTGTAAACTTTTAGTCTTGATCATTATATAGAAAAGAAATGAATATACATTATATATTGCCTTTAGATCCTTGACCCCATACTAGTCATTCACTTAAGTCCCTGCCCTTGAAGGAGTTACTCACTGCCCCTAAAGCAGCCATTTACACAAGTCTCTGTCTCTAATGGAGGCTAATGCCCTTGCCTCAGTCATCTAGACCTAGGCTTGTCTTAGATGGGCAGATGTCTTTCCCAAAAAAATGACTAGCTGCTGTTTATAATGAAGCTTTCCTCACAAACTGGAGCATGGTCCAGATGGCTTAACACCTTCATTCTATCTTCTAACGGAAAAAGAGAACATTTGACCAGGTTTCAAAAGCTTGAAAATCTCTTTAACCAATTAATGTTTCTGCCACCCCCCTGGTGTAGCCCTGAATGGCTTGATCTGCACCAGAGCATTATATTGTGCACTAGAATGGATATGTGATTGGACGTTTATGACCTTCTATACACACAAACAATAGGACCAACTTAGATTAAAGCTGATTACCTTCCAGTACATTTTTGGGTTTTGGAAGGAACCCAGAGTCACTGAAGGAAACCCGCTTCTATCTCAGGTGCCCCACTCAATATGGCCACCGCTTGAGTGGGGCAACTCAGATTAATAACGTGCTGGATGACTGTGATGCTAGTTCATTGTATTACTTCATTGCTGTGGTGTATGTGTATAGAGCAATGCCGCTGATGGCGATTGTGCAGAATAACTTTTTTGTTTAAACCTCTTAGTTGTAACAAAAGCGGAAGTCAGGCGGTCCCAGAACTCGATAAGTTCGAACTTTCGATATATCACCGCTGATCTGTTGACACTTATCGAGTTCTGCGACCGCCTGACTTCCGCTTTCGTTACAACTAAAAGGTTTGCCCAAGTAACTTGTTCTGCACGAGCGCCAGCCATGGCATTGGCCTATACACATACACCACAGCAATGAAGTAATAAAATGAACTAGGATCACACTAATCCAGCACGTTATTATTCTGAGTTGCCCCACTCAAGCGGCGGCCATATTGAGTGGGGCACGTGAGATTAATAATGTGCTGGATTAGTGTGATCCTAGTTCATTTTAGTACTTCATTGCTGTGCTGTATGTGTATAGGCCAATGTAGTTGGATCTGTATGTGTGTTATAATTAATCAAAATGAATCGATTTAAAAAAAATTGATTAATCGAACACGAAAATTTTAATCAGTAACAGCCCTAGTAAATAGTTTTTTTCTTTGCATTCAAGGTTAAACATACAAGTGGGATGAGTGTGTGTGTGGGGGGGTTCATTAAACGTTTTAGGGCATTGATAGAAAACTATTACTATTACTATAACTAAAAACTAGTTTTTCTAATAATATAATGTATTGGCTTTTACCTCTGCAACACGGTGCTAACCACATTCCATAGTGATTAGATTAAGTCTACTAATCTTTTTTCTTTTGTTTTCTTAACTAGGCACCTTAACAATGAGCACGCATTGGATGACAGAAGTACAGCTCAATGCAGAGTACAAATGCAAGTAGTTCAGCAGTTGGAAATTCAGGTTGGTGGTCATTCTGAACGTTATTATTAGAAACATGTTGTGTTGCACAAGAATGAGCAGGTCAGCCTTTAAAAATGTCTTATTTATTGGGCAAGGTTATCATGACCTGCTAACTCACCTTGTAGTTTCAGGTTTTCTATGAAAGCATCAAACCTGACACAGTTCCCTTAATCCTAACATGCTGTAGAGGTTATGTGCTATCGGTAATATGGAGGCAGGCTCTGCAATTTCAAAATGTTGTATTGAAATTCACTCAGGAGGAGCAGCCTACATACTGAATGTCTCCAATCTTCATCCTGGCATGCAACTTACTGCCACTCTGCTTACCCCGCTAGTTGAAGTCTATACTTGCTTTATTCTCATCTTAATTGCCCTGATTGTGAGCCTGTGAAAATACAGGCCAGTGTGTTTTACTGGTTCTAGCATCTCTCTCTCTCTCTCTCTCTCTCTCTCTCTCTCTCTCTCGTTGTTCACATATCTTGGAGAATGACATTTGGTTGCAGTCCCCACGTTTATTGCTAAGGGCATGGTCCCATATGTTAGTATTGTAAAAGCTGCAATGGAATGTCTTTATGCTCAACCTTTTATTCAATGTTTAATAAAAATTATTTATATTCACAAATTACATTGATGACAAATGCTTGATTAGTTTTTTTCTATTAATGTTTTACTGATAGCTAGGTAAGGTCCATTGTTTGCAACGAGACTGTAAACTGTGGATGTTGTCTCAAAGTTTAGCTTTGAAAGGTTTTGGTTCTTGTCATTCTCTATAATTAGATTGATGATGGCATAATGCAGAGGGCACTAAGATAATCCCAGTAGAAGATAAATAAATGAAATGACTGCCCAGAACAACAGTTTGCTTGGGGGAACTTTGGCCTTTGCTTACTCCTTGGCACTAGTCCACATCTACATCTATCTTGGGGACATCAAGTAGACACTAAAGAGCTTATAATGATGGATTGGAATAACTTGCCACTTTTAGACAGAGCTAAGTTTTTATGTGCTATTGGTAAAAAATAAAAACAAAAACTGTATTTGAGAATAATGGCACAGTGCTGAGCAAATCTTAGCCGCTTGAGAAATATTAGGGAAATGCTATACACTGATGCTGATAAATGATTAGTTTGTGTTGATTGTAAAATGTGTACAGATAAATTCAGGTTAACAGGAGGAAAAGCAATGTGTTGTATTCAGTGTTTTTTTTTTCACCTTTTTCGCTTTAAGGCATACTATACATGTGTTCTCTTTTATCTTGGTAGCAAATTGCATTCCTTCATTCATACAGTATGCAACTCTGCATTTTATGTGCTGGACTCATTACATGGAGACATGCTTGATGATAAGATGTATCACTAAGATAAAATAGCTATATCAGTCATTTCTGAAATGCTTCTGATTTTACTCCTTCTTAACAGCTTTCTAAAGAGCGTGAACGACTTCAAGCAATGATGACCCACTTGCACATGCGACCCTCAGAGCCCAAGCCATCTCCAAAACCTGTAAGTGCATATTGCTTTATAAACAGTAAATAGGTCTATACATGTAACCGGCTAAGAAAATGAACAATTTTGTCACAGTCTAAAAACAATGAGTGTGATGAAAAAATATTGCAATAAAATGGATGTAAAATGCAATATCTTGTCAAATTGTATGTTTCTCTAGAAGTAATGCTATCTTTAACACAATCTATCCAATCTACGCTGTGGGTGACACTAAACAAATTACACCTATAAGTGCAAAAATCATTACCTTCAGAGCTGAGCCAGGAAAGCGATTTAAGTGTGATAGTTTCACTCATTCCCAGAGAAAATCAGCAGCGCTTTGAACAGTGTAGACTATCATACTGGAAAACACCAATTCCAAATGGTTCTAGAAATTGTTTTCAAAATATGCAAAAAAAAATGGTGTTATCTTAATTATTTTGGACGTTTTCTATATTGTGCGAAATTTTAAAGAATGGAGTTCGCTAAGTAAGCAAGCAAGGCAAAAGAACTAAAACATACACATATATTTATATGTACACACACAGACATATATATATATA